ATAGTCGGTATTGGTGTTTGTTCGTCTTTTACCGTTTTCGACGATATTAATGTTTCTTCTGTTACTTTAGATAATAAAAAATTGTAAGCATCATTATAATATAATATATAATAATAAATGTAAAATAAATAAATAAATAATAACAAACCTGCTTCTTTATAATCATCCATAGGAGGTGGACTACCAATTATATTATTATCTAATAAAGGACTATGCGTAATTTTCTTGTCTTCAATATTTTCATCCTCTACATTATTACCAGCATTAGTCTCAATCATATCGCTTTTTTTATAAAGATCTGGAGGCCTAGTTTTTGCTTCTCTTAAAAATTCTGGCGGTAATAGTTCATCCTTGAATTTTAATAAGTTCTTGTAACAACCAACAAGTGTGGCATTAACTACTCCAGCAACTTGCGCAACATCCTTGTGTTCACACTTTATTTGTTCATGATCATCGCTGTTGCTCCAATTGTGTAAACGAATCTCGTTCCACGATGCAATTGATAACCATATTGAAGCTGCTCCAACTGAAACTGGGCATTTTCCTGTTGTTATATTCAATTCACTTGCTTGTCTGTATACATGAATGGCCGCATCAAGTATATGTGATGGAAGTTTAAGGTTCTGGCACCATCGTTTCTGTTAATTAAAAATAAATAAATTAAATTAAATTACTTGTTAGAAATTACCAAATAACGACTAAGATAATAAAATAATAACCACTAAAATAATATAAAAATAATATAAATAATTACCAAATATTCAGCAGAATCAACCGTACCATTAGATCCACCACCTAATCCATTACTCTCAAATACTTTAAGCATGAGACGATAATAAGTTCCAATCTCTTGCTTTCTAATAGATGCTGCATTACATATTTCCACAAATGTACGAGGAAGTCCATTTTGCCTGCAAAGGATAAAAAGAATCGATGCAAGTATATGATTTCTTTTTCGATGAGGTTGCCTATTCTTCATTTCTTTAGAATGTTTTACAATTTCAAACACCCGTAATGTTTCATCCCAAATATGGTGTGGAATTTCTATATTTTTCTCCCATTCTATTGCATCCAATTCTAATTTTTCATCATCTCTCATTGTAGATCTACGTCTAGTAGGATAAGGTCTTTGAGGTTTACCATTACCATTAACGTTTGTAGGTGATGCTGATGATGTTGATAAAGCATCTGAAACATCTGAACATGATGTATTAGATGAACCTCCATTAATGTCTTTATTACTACCATTGCTAGATGTTGATCCTTTACGAGATATCGAACTAGATGTAGAAGCTTTTCGTGATATAGTACCATTATAATTTGAATTTGTATTAGGAGATGCTGGATGGGTAGGTTTTGTGGTGGTAGTGGTTGTAGTGGATGTAACCGAAGCCAAATTTCCTGCTGTCATAGAAACGTCCTTGACATCTTCGACCTTTGAACGACTAACAACATCTTCAACCTTAACACGATTACCAACATCTTCGACCTTAACACGATTAACAGCATCTTCAACCTTAACACGATTAACAGCATCTTCGATCTTAACACGATTAACAACATCTTCGACCTTAACACGATTAACAGCATCTTCGACCTTAACACGGTTAGTATCAAGTAAAGGTGAAGCCAATGAAGGAGGAGATGAATAAACCAATGGTTTATGATCATCTTTACCGCCTATTGAAGGAATTTCAACTTCTTCTTCAACTTCTTCCTCTGTTTCCATATCATCACTATTCCATTGAAGGTTATTATCAATATCATTATCATGTGTAGGTTGCTTTCGTTTAGATAACTCTTCATCGTCCGAATCATCATCCATTGCCAGATCATTATCAGAATCATTGCCCGCATTGTCTAATGAAATACGTTCTTGCTTAATATGTACAATGTTTTTAATAACACGACTACCAGCATTATTATCCTCACAAATCATTTTATCAATGTTCATAGATGACTTTTTAATGGGAGATTGATGTCGTTTAGAGGAGTTAAAAGATCCACTACGAGAAATACAGGTAGATTTCACCGGAGGGTCATTATCATTCTCTTCTTTAACATGTTTCTCCTCATGTATTGATAGTTCTTTAACTTTTGTAGCAACATGTTCATCCATAGATTCATTTGCAACAACATCCATAGTAACAACATCCGTAGCAACAACATCCGTAGCAACAACATTCGTAGCAACAACATTCGTAGCAACAACATCCATAGCAGCATTGGTATCGACATTCATATCGACATCAGTATCAGCATTAGTATCGACATTAACATCGATATTCTTATTGACATTCTTATTGACGTTCTTATTGACGTTCTTATTGACATTCTTATTAACATTCCTATCGACATTCTTATCGACATTCGTATTAACCACATTTGTATCAAGAACATTCATATTGACAACATTCTTATCGACGACATTCGTATTTGTTACATCGACATTAGCAACAACTAATGAAGTTTTAGGAACGAGAGGAATTGATTTTTCACAAACATTGTTATTATTTTTCAAAGAATTTAAAATCAATGCAGTCTCAATACTTTCATCCTTAGTTTCAATAACATCATTCATCATAGTTGAACCGTCATTAATCTCTGGTGATAGTTTATATCTCTTATTATCAGAATCAACAACTTGAGATTCAGGAAGACAAGAATAATCACGTTTAAGATTTTGATTTGTTATAATGTCAGTTGAAGAAGAATCTTCAGTAGGAATTTCAGAAGGAATTTCAGAAGAACGATTAATCTTTTTCTCTTCTTCATTCATATCTACAAAAATTTTTGGTATTGCAGCGTCCTTAGGTTTTCTATTACGTTTTTGTGAAGAAGGAACCACACCACTAACTATACTATCTTTTCGAGGACGGGTCGATGACTTTGAAGCGGCAAGTTGAGAACCAGTATCCGAAACAGGATTAGTAGTGGGAACATACGGCACGAATACATGGGCATCATGAGTAACACTAGATTGAGATTGAGTAGATGTTGTTACTGGTTGTTGATTAGGTAAAGGACCAAGAGGAGCGATAGGTCTCGGCTGTTTTTGAGAACGGCGCGATTTTTTAGGTGGAACACCTTGGTCGATAGATTTTTCAACAAGTTGAGACAAGTTACTAATTGGACTATTGTGAGCAGAGTATGGGATTGTGGAAGAAGCAACCGGAGTACTCGGAGCAGGAGAAGAAGAACGAGTAGATACAGAAGAATTACTTCCAGAATGATGCTGATGCGGAGGTGCCAAATAAGATGGAGAAGTTTCACGATTTTCATAAGGATATTGCATAATTGGTTGCTGTTGTGAAGGTTGTAAATGGGTAACTTTAGGAGAAGATAACGGAACTTGAGGTAAAGTTTGGTGAGATATCTGGGGTGCTTGAGACACCTGAGGCACCTGAGGATGAGGTGGTTGTTGTGACACGTGATGATGATGATGAGAGACGGGAGGTGGATGTTGATAGTAATGGTTATTACCATTACTACCATTACCACCATTACCACCATTACCACCATTACTACCATTATTAGTTGGATAACCATGATGAGGATGGTAATGACCAACATCTGACGAAGAAAATGGAGTACGATTATCATTCATAAGATCATTTATAGAATTTATAGAATTTACTGAATTTACTGAATTGGAAGTATTATGATTATTATAATTAAATGAAGTAAGGTTTTGAGATGGAGGTGATTCTAAAGAATGTTGTAAAGGAGGAAGATGCGGCCTCGAATTCAATGGTATAGAATCTTGTTGAATATGAGGATGTGATTGTTGATTTAGCGAAGAAGATAAAGGAGGAAGCGTTATCAATTCTCTTATAGAAGGAAGGGTGATCGAAGAAGCAGGTTGACGATTCGGTAGATCAGCATGACGTAAATTATGTTGATGCTGTTGAAGAGAATTGTGGTGATGATCCATCGCTGAAACCGGTATATGCTTTGAATCTTTTACGTATTCGGAGCCAAGGTTAAAATTGAGTTGATATTTTCTCGGTTTAGAAGGATCCTCTAACACGAACGCATAGTTACTATTGTTGTTTACGCGCTCCTGAGTCATGAAAAAAAAAAATAAAAATAAAATTTACACTATATATAGGAGAAGGGGAATGAACAACTCAGATAAAAAAAAAAATTTTTTTTTAAGGGTGTTTTGGAGGGAATTCGGTCGTATTTTTTTTTTTTTTTTTTTTTTTTTTTTTTTTTTTTTTTTTTTTTGCTTAGACTGTACAAAGATTTAGCTTGTACCTCGGAACCCAAAAATCAATCAAATAATTCTTTTTTTTTTTTTTTTTTTTTTCTGAAAAAAGGGGATGGGATGGGGTATTTTATAGAAAATCTACAAATGATGGAGCAAGTTTGGTGTAACATAAAATAAGCAATATCAAGGCTTAATTTGGATAGGGGCGTACGGTGAAATATAAAATAAAAGTAGAATTATAATAAGAATTTATTCATTCGGGATACAATCGACACATAAATAGTACAGTAAAATTCATGAACAATTATTTAATTAATACAAGTCAGACAAACCGGAGTAAATACAACAATATAAATACATATACAGATATATATATACGGAATTCAAAGTCAACTCGGCCTAGCGGATAAATTCTGCCCAGTTTTAAAGGCCGATTTACCAGATTTATGATAAAGTCAGATTTTTTGGCCGATATATTAAGTATTT